TGTAGTAAATATAAGTCATGAAACAGAGTATGCAACAATAAATTATATTTGTTAGACTATATATATTAACACGAAACGGTACCAAATAAGCTGCATATCATCAGTCGTAATTTGATTGGTATTGGAGAGAAAAATTATTTTTCCTAATTAGTACAAAATCGCATTTACATATGGTGTGGGTGTGTGGGTTTGCGTGTAATTATTCTATTCGCCCACCCCCACATTCCACACCCAAATCCATATTCACACCCACACCTACAATTACATTCACACCCACACCCCAGACTCACACCCACCCACACCCACATCCATACCCACATCACCCACACCCACCCACACCGACACCCACACCCACACCCACACCGCACACCCACACACCCACACCCACACACCCACCCACACCCAACCAAAAAAGAATCAAGATAAAAGTTAAATATATTATTCTTTATAAAAAAAATTATCAGCTAGAACCAGTATCAGAGTGTGGGTGTGAGTATGAATTAAGGAAAGATTAACACCCACACCCACACACCCACTCCCACAGTCACAGTCACACCCACCCACACCACACCCACACACCCCACCTACACCCAGTTTTTTCGTTAGTATTCATTTTCTTAACAATAAAATCCGTTCTTTGAATTGTTCTCTTTGCTTTTATTGCTGCGAAGGTTTGAAAAATAAACGTATTGATTTCATTGTTCTATAGAATTCTCGTTTATATGTTTGTGATGGTAAAACAAAAATAATAAATGTTAATGCTGACGGTACAAATGATACGAAATAGCCAGCTAAAAGTAAATATGGATCTCGAGTTGGTTCCATACATGTTGAAATATAAGAAATAACTAGACGAGGTAAGGCTAAACAAATTAATATAATTGGGCTTGTAATTAAATGTTTATGAATATAAAATTGTTGATGATAGTTTGTTGTATGCTGCACTGTCGATTTTATCGTAGTAGTTCCAATAATAATAATAAGAGCTGAAATAATATTTATTGAAAATGGAATGAGAAAATGAATCATTTCAATTGTTGTATCGTAAATCTTCAAGAAAGATGATGAATAGCTGACTACACACCAAGTTCGTTGTTCAACAGAATCTTCGATCAAACGACGATAGAAAGGATCATGAATTGCAGATGTAATATTTAAAAAAACGATTAATAAAGTAATAAGCTTAGCCATTGTTATACTTCGTTTCTTGTTGAATTGTAAACCGAATCGAATATTTGTCGCACGTTCAATTCCAACATATGCATTAAGCCATGCATTTGTAGATAGAAAAAATTTCAAAGAAAATTCAATCATAATACAACCATAACGATTTTTAATCATCCATATTTGAGTTAACAATAGATAGAGAAATTTCATTATAAGAGAACACATTGTAATTAATGATGTAATTGATGAAAATAATAGATAGAAACCACAACCATATTCTCTTGTTTTTGGTTGAAGAAATGTTAAAATTGATAGACTACTATCAATTAGACCAAATACAAACATGAGAATAACAACAACGAGACTGATTTTAACTACAAAAGATTGATGTTTTATTGATGTATTTTGTAAAATATGTGGACCAATAATAGCATCCAATGATAAACTATATCTAGATATTGTGAATTGACAAAGAGTTCCGTAATAACATTTTGGACAAATACAGATTGACGTTTTTGAACAACGTTCATCGTTTTGTAAACATTTTCCATTATTTTCACAATAATTAATACCTGAATGACATTCTGTATGATTATGTTTAAAATAAAAACAATCAAGCTGGTGTAAATAATTACAAAAACACATTTGATCATCATCATCATAAAAACATTCAAATGGTTGAATGATTTTATTTACACATAAATAATAATAAGATTTTGTACGTTTTAATTTATGATATTTAATTATTGTATCATTGAATAATTCTCGAATATGTTGACATCGTTCATGTTGTTTAACATATACCAATTCTTTTTTCATTGGTTTATCAAGAAGTAATAATGAAAGATAATAATTTGATTTATCTTTATGTACATCAAATATTTCTATAAAACCTATTTGTGGTAAAAAATGAGTTGGATGATAGATAATCAAATTTTGTTGATATAAATGAATATGTTTCAAATAAGATGTATGTTTATGTTGTTCATTTTCATGTAATGTTATCATATGGACCAGTATCGATGATGGTGGTTTAAAAATTGACTTATTAATTATGATATTTATATGTGATGAATTATATTCACAAGCATCACCGAAATATTCTTCGGAACATACACATCGACGTTGCCACATTTTGTCATCAAGAGAAATACATGTTCCATGATTTTGACATGGAAACATTTCACATGATAAATATGGAACATAACATCGTGATCCTATTCTTCCTAACTGACATAAACATATCGGTTCAATATCTTTTCGTCCTCGACCAATACACAAAGATCCAGGAGAACAATGACAACTATCATCAATATTACATTTATTTCCAGACCATCCTTGATGACATTGACAGAAAAATTTATTTGCATTTATATATTGAATACATTCTCCATGTTGACCACAATCACAATTTTCTCTTATCCAGTTACGATCTTGATTCGTGCCCGTTAGAATTAAAATTGTACTCAAACGATTAACTGGAAGAAACGAAAACTTTATTTCAAAATACCATGAACCACGATAATCCCAATGGCCTTGTAAATGTAATCGGTATACATCAATTCTAACATAAAATTTTGATTGTTCGTCATCTGATAATAATTGTGAATATAATAAATTAAAATAAATCTTTGGTACACATTGATAATCGGGAGTATATAAAATATCTTCATAAGATATAATTGTACCGTTTAGAGGATCAATAAGTGAAATAATAAGACGATAAACTAAATTACGATAAAACGTTGCTGGTGTTTGAAGTTGTAATAAAACACTTAAACGTTTTGTTTGATATTGACAACGATCTCCATAGTAAGATGGAGGACAAAAACAAGAAAAATTTTTCTTTAAATTTGACGAATGAACATAAATTCCACGATGACAAAACCATGCTAGTTTTGTTGGTGAAACGAATGGCAAAGAAGAAAAACTTTGTTGTTGAATTTGATGTTTTTTCTGATGTTGTTTTTCTATCAAACTGATATTATTATTGCCGTCGTAAGCAATAAAATATCTAATTGAGAAATATTTTTCTAATGGTTTATCGATTAAATCACAAAAATATTCATCATCACCATGAGGACAGTCTTCTTCAAATAAACCATCACAACGTTTTTTACGATTTATCCATTTTCCACTTAAACATGGATACCAATCCGATTCACATTGGTATGTACCCCATGGACACAACAAATCACTTTCATCGTCTTGCAATGGACAATCTGGATTACAGTCACAAAGCTGAAGTGGACTAATACATATAGTTGACTTCCAACATTTATATCGTTTATCATAATCAAGTGGATATTCTTGTTGACAATGGTATCGTTCATCAGTTGCACCAAGACAATGCACATATGTATCAGCTGCATATTGAATTGGCAAGCAGCCCATTTCTCCATTAGTGGGGTTAACACAATAATGGCTTTGAGAAATATTATTCATACGACATTGATCACTAAACGTATTGGGACATTCAACTTCATCGTTTCCATCTAGACACGTCCATAAACCGTCACACAATGTATATCGTGTAATACATGGTAAATCTTTACAATCTGTTTCGTCTGTTTCGTTATATTCATCTGGTTTTATCAAGTCTAATTGTTTATTACAAATTTTTGGAAATGTTATTAATTTCTCAATTGGTAATGTTCCTCGAATATATTCACAAATATAGGATCCAGATATTTGACATTTTTCACCAAATGATTCATCTGAGCTATCTTGACATTGTTTGAAACTATCCATTAGAAATCGTCGTGGAATACATTTATCTTCTGATCGACATTTAAATCGATGACGTAATGAGCAACTGTCATCAACAATACTCTTTTCTTGTTCATCTTCACTACCGGGACAGTCAATTATGGAATCGAACAAACGATGTTTAGAAATAGATTTTGAGGAATTTGGACAATGATATACTGGCAAGAGTGAAACAGTTGCGGTAGCAACTAAACAAGCTTTGAATACATGTCTTAAATCATTGAAAAGATGGAGCCAATTTTTATAAATTTTTTGTCGAAAATTAAATTCATTAGACAACCGACATGTCCGATTATTAATATAAACTGTTGGTATAAACGTTGAACAATATGAGAAATTATAACATATATAATCTGGTAAATAATTTTCATAAGAAATATCAGTTACATTTAAAAAATGTTCTGGTGTATAAACAAAATAAACGTGACTATCTAATATTGGCTGTAAGGGATAAACAATAAAAGATGGACATAAATTTTTTATTGCTGGACCACAATATCGATTCCAACCCATACAAATATCTACACAATTGATAATAGATGAAAATAATAATGATTTTAATGCACATTGAACATATTTATAACATTCACTCATATTTTTATTTAAATTTTTGTAAGAATAGAGTTCAAGTGAATACAATATGTTTCGTCCATTAAGACAATTATCAAAAACTGATTTTAAGTACAATGGTTCATTGGATGATAAAAATTGTCCATCACCACATGAAAATTCACCGATAGAATTTACAAAATCTTCACAAAAATAAAATGGGTCCTTTGGACAGCTAGTATTTCGAAATGGATGTTCATCAGAACCGTCTAGACAATCGACTGATGAATCGAAAAAAAATGCTTCAGGTATACATTGACCATTTGAACAACGATATTCACTTTTCAAATCACATTCATTTGTTTCAAGTTGAAAACATTTTCGCTCATCTTCACCGTTAATGCAGTCAATTTTACCTAACATCAAAAAAGAACTCTTCTAAGCATATTTATTCATGAACTGTCAGTCAACACCTAATTCTAGTTGTCTCAATCAACAGAACTTTTCTTGCTTTATGCTAAAATCAGGATCCTCGTGGCTAGGTATAGTACTTTTACTTTGAACTTTAATTTTAAAGAAATCGAAATTAAAGTAAGCATGTTGAGGATGTTTTCGATAATCATTTTTTTATTTCTGTCATAACCTTAGAGTTAATGTTCCTAACAATGATGGCGAGCTAATTTTTGGACTCTAATAAGGATGCATTTTTCAAACTAAGTGTATCGCTTTCAATGTCATAGAAATGGAGCTCGTATAATGGAAAAGAAACAGTTAAATAATTCAGTACAAAAAGAAAGGTAATTGTTGGTAAGAAGAATGTACTTGAAGCAATACAGGCAACATACCTTAAAACTTAGTAAGATTTATAAAAGTGCTAATTTCCTTGCTTAAGTTGAAGTCTGACTAGTATTGATGGAGTGCGCTCATAGTGAAATATACTACGAGGTGAGTTATTATTTTACAGCAAATTTGAATGCACATAGTTGTTCATAAAGGAACAGGGTGGGTGTGGGTGTGGGCCATATCTTCAGCCACACCCACTTTGCTTCAACAGAATGGTACCAATTTGTAGTTCTCGACAAGCTCGCCATAGTAGCATGAAAACGTTCATTCCTATATGCTGATAGCACATTTAGATCGATCATTACTTTCAGAATACTGTGTTTAAATATTAGTTACAACAGTCAATGTTTTAGCATAGGATGCACCATATTTGAGTGCGGATGCTTGCGTACGAGACATAAATAGAAGAGTAAAACATATTTTGATTTTGCATACTGTATACTACTCACTCGAAGTTTTAGACTATTTCTTTTGAAAGTATTTTTACAATTGTTGAAAATACTGTTGTAACAAGTTTTAAATCGGAATCCTTATTGACCTTTACTGTCAGCCTTGTAACATATACCAGAGACCGAAACGAACCGAATTTGTCCAGTTCGAATTCGGTTCGGTTCGATCAAACCAAACCAAACCAATAAAGTTCGGTTGGAGCCAACAAAAATAGTCAAAGAAAGCTGTAGTTTAGCATTTTAACCGCTGACAACCACTTATTTTGACTACCCGTCAACTAATGATTCATTTGGAAGGAATGAGAGCACTTGATCGAGTATATAAGATGAATTTTCAAAACTCAAAACTGGCACAGACATGACGCGAACCGAAGTCATCTGATTTGGATTCGGTTCGATCCGACTGAACTTTGAAAAAGTCGGTTCGAGTTCGATTCAGTTCGAATCATTTTTTAAAATGTCGGTCCCAGTTCGGCTCGGTTCGGTTCATTTTCGGTCTCTGACATATACCCTCAAGGTCAGTGTAACGTTTTTTTTACTAGTTCGCAGTCTCAACAAAGGATAAAATGGATCTGTCTAAATGAATTATAGTCTTTCTAGGCAGAATATTTTATAATAAACTTCAATTTGATCGAGTAAAGCCAAATGTTAGACATTGCTCGGACCTCCTGAAACCTTGAATGCACTTTATTTTGAACAGATCAGAATGAGTCCAAAAACTTTGTTTATCATTTGTCATGTGTTTGTAGCCAACACAGAACAAATAAAAACTTTAAACCGTAACTATCGAAATATCACGACAATCTGCGCTGTAGTTTTTGCCACCAAGTACCCATCGCTATCTCGTTACTTATACTCATTGTTTCACGAGCATTTCACAGCTACCAGTAGCTACGGTCATCAAATGGATGAACTGCGTTGAACTTATGTTCATCGTATTCCGAAAAGATTGTTTCTATTCAAAGATTTCAATTTTGAACACATAAGTGTTCAAAATGTGATCAGCATTAATTTTTTTCAATTAAGACAATCTGCTTTCAATTGATTGAACACGTGTTAGATATCTCCATCTCCTGAGACCAAGAGGATATAAAGTTAAGGCTCGTGTAGATTCCAAAAACTGAGACTCAATAGTCGAGTAGATATGAAAAAATAAAATCTGACTAGTATCATACTTTGTGAAAGATCATTGTAAGTGATCATCAATTTGCTCATCTTTCTTTGCGAGTTATTCACATTTGATCCCTATGTAATTCTAATGCCTAGACGAGCTGGATTCCGTTACAACGTATAATATTTATTATACTCGACTATTTCTAGAGGAATCACTTTCAATATTCCATATAATTTTTAAAAAAAAATTTAAATCAAGAAACTAAACATACCATCACATATTTCTCGCCAATCCAAACATAAACCAATAGGACGTTGACATTCGTTTTTTAGACTCATATAACATGGAACATTCCAGTTTGTTTCTGTTAATACATCGAATGGATGGAGATTTTCACTGCGTTTTAATTGAAATCTTCTCTGAATAATCTCATAAAATAATAGTCTACCATTAACAAAATCTCCGTTATCAAATGAATACTCGCAAAAAACACCAAACCAACCATCTTCACAAAAATTTATTATTTCATTATCATCTAGATCATTCGAAAATAAATAGTTTTGTTCATAAATTAAATAACGTTCTAATACATCAATTGGAATATATAACTGAAGTAAATCTTTAGTGATATTTGATAAACGTAAAGTTGAAAATGTACGAAAGCTGCTTATTGTATTAAAATTAGAAGATATAACTGATTCTTGTACATTATCCATTTCGTTTTCAATCATCCTAATACAATAAGGAATTATTGAATGAACTTCTTCGCTTGATATTAATATACTCGAAGCATATAAACAGTCATATTCGATTAATCCAGTTAGTAACGACGACTTTTTTGCAAAATGATTCTTAGTGTTGTATAATCGAAACCATGAATCACTTTCAGTTAATTGTGATAGAAACAGCAATTGTAATAACAGTTCCAAGTGCATTTTTCTCATTCTCATATTCAAATGTTAGAATTGAGTAGAATAAGCTATCTTGAGTAATTTATCATTGAGCACACCTAACAGGTTTAATATAATAAATTATGAAACAGATGGACATCCATCTGACAGAACTGACAAGTTTTGAGATAAATAGCAGTCTCTGGAAATGCATTCTTGTCAAATATAGCAATGTTGAGGTGAGGATAAACTCCTAAGCGAGAATCCGACAGAACACCAATCAAACCCGGCGCCGCTAAATTTCTTTCGAATTCTTTTAACACAAACGAGAGATCATATCATGATAGTTATAAATCCAAGATATTATGTTTTCTGATGTACCTGTGAAAAATGCCGAAGATCAAAATCCTCCAATTCTCAGAGCGGACTAGGTGAAACATAGGATGAGAGTAGGAGAATAATGCTATTTCAGTCTGCCATGATCCAGATTTCGGCTTTGCCGAAGGGTCATTATCAGAAGGCTTTGACTCTGTCGTGAGGGTGAATATAAATAATATAAATAAAGGAGTTCCTAAATAAGTACGCAAGTGAAGTTAGCAGCGCATTCGAATAATTCCAGCGAAGATTCGCTCACGGACAAGTTCTAAGGCTCTTATTCTTGTTCCAATTAGAACACAATGAGCTCTATTCAACAGTGTAACCAAATTTTTCGTAGCTCAAACTATGGTCTCAAAAATTCTAAAATACTGTTCTTTTCTATGGGAATTCTTGCACCCAATTCGAGTAATTCTACCACCGAATCGTCCGCAGACCTGGTCTACACGTTTCAATATGCTTGGTTCAAGTACAATCTGATGAGTTCTATCCAATGGTGTCCTCAGTTTTCTCATAGCCCAAACTATGGTTTTTGAAATCATACATGGGGCTATAAAAAAAATCTAAAAATCATAATTTGGGTTATGAAAAATCTGAGCATGCCATTGCAACCAACAAATTTTGTGATTATTTCTGCAGTTATTTTGACTAAAAGCTGTTCTGAAAGCATACCATTGGAAAGAGCAAATCTTTCTCTACAAGCTGAACTAATTTTCATTTCATCATCTTTTTGAGAAATAGCCCAGTAGGGTAGTTTTCGGAGTATATCAGAACTATACTGGGATCTTGGATAAACTGAAATATTTTATTTTAATTTTCAACTCACTCTTGGTTTCTAAGGTATCATTTGAAAGACCATGAAAAACTGTGCCAAAAAATATATTTGATCAACTGTTTCATCTTAGAGAGTAAGGGTGTGGATGTGGGGTGTGTGTGAGTGTGGGTGTGGGATGGGTGTGGGTGTGGGATGGGTGTGAGTGTGGGATGAGTGTGGGATGGGTGTGAGTGTGGGTGTGGGTGTGGGTGTGGGTGTGGGTGTGGATGTGGGTGTGGGTGTGGATGTGGATGTGGATGTGGGTGTTACTCTTCTTACGAGGCACGCCCACACCCCATACCCCACGCCCATACTCACACCCACACACTCGCACACCCACCTCACCCACCCACACCCACTTCGCCCATCCAGACCCACATCCACACCCTTCGGTGTTTGTCCCATGTTCGCTTCATTCATTGTTGTTTCTATCACATGATTATATAGATTCTGCATAGAAAGTCACTTCAGATTATTTATTGTGAACTTAAAGATTCGAACTGTATAATCGCAAAATAATTCCACATAAGCATTCTAATTTAAAACTGTGACGTATTTTAGTGCGAAATGTGTAGTGAAAAATGTTTGTATGGATAGTACACGAGATACATGTACATCGCGCATTTATTTAATGCATGTGTATAGAAACCATAAGCATTGCTAGATATTTTCGTAGTTGTAGTTGGACTCTGTGACTGTGACGAGGTGCTTATCAGATTTAACG